CTAACAATGTGGACAATAAGACTGCTATGAGCTAGTTTTACCACTCGAGCCTTTACCAATTATTGAATTCCCTTATTGAATTCCCATAACATTTTAGGTATTATGCAATGTATTGAACATGCATAGGTTCTGCACATTAAACATTCTCAGGGAAACAGATGTCTTAGAGAGCAAAGTAGTCATGGTTTTGAAAGCCAACAGTAATCATTTTCCTCAACAGAATTTCTAAAAATTGAGAATGATGTCAGTTAATGCAAAATAGTCTCCCCCACCTCCTCAAACATGAAAATATAATTCAGAAATCATTTCTACAGAAGACATATATAAAAAAATGTTCATAACACAGCCACAGGAACTAAAGCAGAGAGATGAATTGAGGCAGTCACAGAGCATCTACTAGCTATTGCATTGGTAGTGATTTATAAAAAATACTATATATACTAAACCTTTAAGAGCTAGTAATATATTTATCCTTTTTTATTTGCCACTGAATAAAAAAAGTATATCCTAAATTGAACTAAATCTTCTATGCCCTGAGGATCAACAATAGACTAATATAAGAAAAATCAGAGTTAGCTTTATGGATATTATTATCCAGAAAGTCCAAACTACATATAGCTAATATTCTTGGAAGCATGTTTTACCAGCAGACTAAGCTGGTTTGGTGGGTTTTTTGTTTTGTTTTTTCAACAGAGAGTTTGGTTTTACAGTGTTAACATGGCCTGGTAAGAGTAGAGAAGTCTTAAGTTGGGAGCCTGAGATTTCCTTCTGATCCCAGATCCACAATGGATACACTGGTTTTCTGACTCTACTCTGAACATAGCATACTGCTGCCTATAGAATATATTATTGAAAAATTCTCTATAAAGCACTTTGAAAGCTTAATTATATATTTTTCTGAAATTATGAGGAATTATTTGCTATCATGAAATGTGAAATTCCTACTCCCAAAAACAAATATATAAATGACACATTTTAAATTTCATCTTAGAATTTCCTTCCTTTCTTCTTATATGTGACAAAAAAAAAAAAAAAAAAAATCCTACTTTTCCCCTTCAACTATCCTACATTAGGCCTGAACGTGGATGGGAAAGAAGGTCCTTAGAGTAAGGCAGAGGATTCATTTAGGACAATCATCTGGCATTTATTTTAGGGAGGGGTTCCAGCTTCCCTTTGGACTCAGTCTGCACAGATTTCAGGCTGTCTCAAATTGTGCACACATAAACCTCTGAATGCAATGCATGTAATCCCCAAAATGTTAGTTGCTTTGCAGAAAGAACTAATTCTTTATAGGGTGCTTAAAAATGAGAACTAATGGGGGCTGAGGACATAGCTCAGTTGGTACAGTGCTTGCCTTGCATGCACAAGGCCCTGGGTTCAATCCCCAACACCACAAAATGAAAAAAAAAAAAAATTGAATACGGATTTGGGGGGAAAAAAGAGAACTAATGAAATAGAAATAAAGGACTCTACTTTCTTGTATCAGTATCTCATCAAAGGATAAGATAGGACCAGGTCTAACAAAGGGAATAAATAAAATCATGAGTCATATTCAGCTGTTTTATGTCCTTGTTTTCTATCTAAATATTAGAGTTTAAAGTAACATGATCCTGCTCCAACCCCAAGTAAGAAAGGCACTCAAATTAACACAGTATGTACAGTTGTTTTTAAAAAGACACTGTGTGACAGAAAGTAGAATTCTTAGGGTTGATTTTTCTTGCTCTCTGCCTTTATGATACTGAATTTGCCTAAACTTTCCAGTGCCTCAACACAGATCTCAAATAAATAGGAGATCATTACACAGCATAGGGAGGCAGCAGCACATAGAATGCTAGAGTTTGCAGGTCTGTTTGAGGAATTCATTCAAAAGACAAAAGATTAAGTTGTTATAATGTTGTTCAAAAATTTTAGCATACTTTAAATATCTTAGTTTTAAAATATAATTTTCTAGTAAAAAAATAACAGTAAACTTAAAACAGCTTTTTACACTGCCCCCCCAGTCATGTGCTACTTTCTTTTGCAACTAGATCTTCAGCATCTTCTATAATTCAGGGGTGCTAAGGTAGAGATTGTTGTATAGCAAGTGGTAGTTCTACTCCTAAATTGCATTTAGCCCATGTCATAGACCATGTGATGCTATATGAGAGAAAATTATAATTATGTTTGCAGCAATATTACAAGTTCTTTTTACACATATACTCATTCACCAAGTACAAACTGGTATGAACTGAACATATCAAAACCACACAAATATATATGCTTTCTTATAGACTGCTGCATAAAAATCCAAAAACTTTTGTTTCCACATGTCACCAAACTCCTTATTTGAATATCTAAGTGTTCTTTAGTGACAACCTGTATACGTTTAATCCTACTAATTATTAATAAAGTGGAGTATGATCCCTAGCCTAGCACTGCTTAAAAAAAAAAAAAAGAAAGAAATTAATGAAGCTCTCAATTTAAATTAGAACTGTACTAGAAGAATTAAGAAGTGTGATTGAAAGTCTGGGCCTGGAGTTTCTAAAGAAATAATAGTAGATATTAATATTTATCAGATCCTTAAGCTTAAAAAACAACTATACAGATTTAGGAAATAACTAAAAGATTCACAGTTCAAATTAATGGGGAAAAAAGGAGAAGCATAAAACAACTATTCATGAAGATACAATAAACAAGTCATTGAAATCAAAGAATTTCTTCAGCTGTTCTCAAATGGTTCAAGCTTTGTGTATGTGTCCTTAAATAAGTAAACAGAAAGTAGTATCCTTAATGCAAGTGGGTTTCTATAAATGTTTAATGTAGATTAAGGTATAGCTCACTGATAATTCTAGAGCTGCATTTCTTGGCTTGAATTTAATGAGTTTAAACAAAGTAATGAAGAAAATAAATTTAAATTAACTTTTTCTATATGCAACAGCTCTCCCTAAGTATTATTCGCAAACAATTAATTTCTCAATCATCACTCTATCCATCACTCATAACCAATCTTTTCCCTTCTTCAGTTAATCAATCATTCATTTAATAAGTAGTCAGTGAGCCCTCACAATGAGCAAGGCACACACAGTAGAGTCTGGAAATACTATATTACTGAAATAAGTCTACATTAAAAAGGCAGGGTGAAGAGTGTTATGGTGTTAGTTACCTACTGCCTTTTGCTTGTCAGTAGTATTCTTGACCCACAGGATGATGAACTATTACTCTTTCGGTGAAAATGTGATGAAACACGTCAAATCTAAACTATCTTCCCCTTTTAAACAATGACATATTTGAAGAAAAATAAGGCTAACAAGCCCCTGAAAACAGACATACTTTTTCTACTGCATGAGCTCATTTAGGCAAAGACATATTATGCTAGTCAGTTTAAATGTCAAGCACTTTGGGGCGGGGGGCGGCACAACAAAAATAATCATATAGGGCAATTCTAAGTTTTCCTGTGAATGAACACTTGAAAAATGCAAATTTAAAATAAAGTAGCATACAAAAGTCACATACTGACAGTATCCTTTGGATGTTTGTATTCTCATTCTCTATTTAAAACTTTATTAAAGAAAAGAAGACCAAGGTATATTAAAACACTACATGGCTTCAGAAAGTGGTGGGTTTGAGCAGTTAACAACAAAGATGACCAAGATACTGAGTGTAAGGTAAGTTTAACTAATGTTCTCAGGATATTATCTATACTCATGTCCTGATGTGTATTCACATCAAAGTAGTTGCACTCACATCAAAGAAGCCCTATTACTTAGGATACTAAAAATTATGCTTGAGATAACAGTGATACTGAGTAGTCCAGAATTTGGCAACATGTATTACTGGAATGTGCTGAACCTCCCATGTCATCTCTGTGTAGTTTCTACTCAACCCCTGCAGGAGCTGAAAATCATAAATCTAATGAGTTTTATCCATTGAAATCTACATAGACCTTGAGGTATCTGATTCAAAATAAGCTCTGTACACAAAGGGCCATGGGATTAAGTTCATTATGGCAATTATTTTCTCTCCTAAAAATTATATAAAGTATAAAAAATGGTAATTTTTGCCCCAAGAGATAAGAGCAACATCTGTCTACTGGGGCCAGGCTAAATAATTTTCCTGGTGTTCTTACAAGTATATCATTCAATTTGACAGTTCACCGCTCAACAAAACCATGATGCCCAAATAAAGGACCTATTCCATTTCCCTTAAAATAGTACTTCTACCTCAAGTCCTGGCTATTCACAAGATTGAGACAGGAGAGGTTTGCCTTTCCCTACATCTTTCTCCCCACCTTACAGATTACTAAGCAAGTAAAAAGGAGAAGAGGCAAAGCATGGTGGTCATACTTATTTCTATAACTATTACTCACATTTGTATACACGTAGGATAAGAAACAGCTTCATCATTTGAGAAACTTTTAGAGGGGCAGTTTCTATTCATATTTCGTGTGTGTGTGTGTGTGTATTTAGATGGGAATGAAATTCACAGAAATAGAGAACATAAAATCTTCAGTAGGCATTCCTGAAATTTGAGGAAAATTATACACAAGTCAAAATGACAAAAAAATATGGAATGGAGTGGTGAAATAAAGAAAACAGTATACAGAAAAAAGAAATACATACCATTTACAAAGGAGAAAATATAATAAGAAAGTAGACATTAGCTGACTCTTTCCCTAGTCCCACTTCATCAACCTGAAAAACTCAGCCCTTGTTAGTGAAAATTAAGATACAGCATTAATGTAGATACTTTGGTACCTCATCCCTGATAAAATCCTGTATCAAAGTGTTCTGTTTTGTTTTTAAATAAAAACTGAAGAATTAATCTCCTGAACTATTCTTTCCTCCTGGCTTTTGCCAGTAAACTTTTCATAGTCCACAAAATTTTGTAGTTTATCCAGTATAATCTCAATAACTTAATTTTTTAAAAAGGAGTTTCTATGAATACATTTGTATGTATATTTCTCCCATTTTTCATGAATGATTTTGGAAAAGAAAAAGTAGTAATAACTAAAAATGGCATTCTGGGTTTTTAAAAAATTTATTTTATCAGGGCTGATATGACTGTTTTGGCATATACCAAATATGAGGTAAAAAACAACCTATCAAAGCTAGTAATAAAAATAATTTTCCAGTACTACACTTACATAAACTCTTAAATTAGATTCTGTTTTTAAATAATCATTTAAAAATGGATTACATTGGAAGCATTTTTTTAATATAAATTTCAATACTTCTGACTTTGGTTACATTTAGTCTATACTTTTGAGTAGAACATGCTAGAAAAAGAACTGATTTATATTTTCACATATCCAAACATCTAGCCATTTGATTCTGAAAATAAATTAAGTTCTTCTGCATCTGTATTAATGTTTCTAAGCTGAACTACAACAAAAAATTTTGATTTAAAAAATTTGCCTATATAGCAATCAAAATGAGGTGGGTGGATGTATATGTGACCCAATTATAAGAACTGAGTGAAAACCCCATGTATAGAAATATAAAGGATGAGGAGTTAAAAAGAAAAAATTTAAGACTCATTTTTTAGTAAGGAGCTACACAATTACTGTATCCCCAAAGGAATGCCAGTTCTTAATAAAATAAATAAAATGTAAGGTTTCCTATGGACTTTTAACCTAAAGATGAGGAACACATTAGCCAATAATAGCAAACAGTTCATGCAACTATGTCAATAAGAAAGGAAAGCAATATTGCACTAAAAGGGGAACCTTACAGGATTAATCCACTTTCATTGACTCAGAGTGACCAGCCATTTCCTGTATGCTTTGGCATACCTGGCTTGCTCTATGTTCCGGCAAGTGGACAATACTTGATCAATGAACCTGTGCTCCATTTCTAGGCCCAAAGAATCTGGAGCTGGGGTCCGCTTCAGACGTTTGGTTTCTTGGGAATAGCCTTGCTTGCTTGAGTCATTCAATCCATCTACTTCCATTGCCTGAGACAGCCGAGGATCTGCTGGGATGAGGTGCAAATCACTCAAAGTCTCTCCAGGACTGTCTGCAGGTGGCAGCTGGGTCATGCTGTGAGGAAACTTACCATTTAAGTGATGTTGAAGGTAGAAAACATGCCGCCTATGATGGGGGAGAGGGAGGAAGAGAATAAAGAAAATCTCATGGCAAAGTTAAGCTTTTCAGGGGAAAAAAATTGTGATCATATCAACATGTATACGTGCTGAGTTTGTGGCCCACTTCATAACCCAAAGATAAACAGAGGAATTAGGAATTAGGAAAAATAGTTGACATGAAGTCTGGGTATTTGGACAAATATTGCAGATTACTTGTTTGTTTTGTGAGAAAGAACACTATTAAAAGTTTTTTCAATAAGCATTTACTGAATGATGACAACTTGAAGTTATTACTTTAACATGAAAATAGAAATAGGTCTTAGTTCAATCAATATCTGTTTTATATAATATCAATATTATATATAACCAAATAAAAAACTAATCTCGTTGATATCTTGGAAGACAAGAGATTCTAGAAATGGGGAATTAAAGGGTTCATCCAGAGGCTTAGTCCATAGCCTTTATCCAATCCTTTTAATTAAAAGAACACATCTGTTGCAGTTGGTCTTATGATCTAGAAATCAACTGACCTATCTTGTAAATCCATCACTAGTCTTCAACATCCATATATAGTGGATCTGTGCTGAATTCTGAGAAAAACACTTTAAAAGATACAGTTTCTGTTCTTCCTCTAAGAAGAGCAGTTCTTGTGTCCTTAAAAAATCACCTGGAACTATTTGTCAAAATGAAATCCCTGTTGCTAATCTCCAAACACTGATTTGGTGTAAGGGGGACATTTCTGGTAGACAATACGATAAACTACATGGCTTCTAAGTTGTTATATCTCAACAAATTAGTGAGAACTAGGAAAGGAAAGGGAAGGGAAGGGAAGGGGCAGGGGCAGGGGAAGGGGCAGGGGCAGGGGCAGGGGAAGGGGCAGGGAAGGAAAGAAAAAAGGCGCTGGGGATGTGGCTCAGAGGCAAGGGGCTCATTTCCTAGTACCAAACACATAAGTAAAAGATAATTCTCTATTCATGAATGTGCCAAAAAGGAGAGATTGTCTTCTGAGTAGGTTGAGCATAGACTAGCAGGTGTCCATCTCCTCAAACAGCCTAAAACTAGACTGGACAAGAGTAAGGGCAGATCTCAGTAATTTTATTAATATGCCAACTTTTAAAAACCTACCTCCTGACTAACACAAGCAAGTCTTATATTCTGTTTCACACCTTTCTACTAGTCTTTCTCTGTATCCCAAGAGAAATTCTTTAAATTTTTTAAAATTTAAATAAACAAAAAGCATCAAGATATTACACTTCGTTAATTTTGTAGATCATTAGGGTAAAAAAATAATAAAACTTACTTTTTTCCCCTCAGGGTTTAATCAATAGTTTCAACTCTGACTATGCATCAAAATTGATTAAAAAAAAAATCACAGGGTTTAAACAACAAAACAAGCCTTGAGCTTGTGATCCTTATACCTCAGCCTCCTGATTCACTGTGATTGCGGGCATGCACCATCAAGCCCAGCTGAAAATTCTTTTTTCCTCTTAAAATTAAGACACCCTTATTCTACGTTTTCAAGAGAAGGTAGATTGGGACTTGAGATTGTTTTGATATTGAAGGTTTTTGTTCTATTTTGTATTTGTTTAGGCATATTAATGGCAAAAAAAAATAACAAAATTCCATCTCAGATATGCTAAATATCACGGTCTCCAAAGAGGGAGTCCACAAACTTCTATTTGTCTTATTTTCCTTTTATTTTGGAAGTAACACAGATTATTCTGTTGCAAAGTAAAGGCTGACTACTACTGTCCTAAGCCATAGGCAAAAAACTGCACCAGAAACTTCATGTTAATAATAATGATATGGTAACATAAACCCTTTCTTACTCACATAGGCAAAGCTCCAAAATCAGATGCCTATGAATACCTAAACAGGCAGAAGTCAGATTTAACACCTTCTGCAGCTCTCATCAAGACATGCCAATTTCATGTAGGAAATGGGTTTTTCTCTTCTCTTACCTATGACACCAAAGGGTTTCATGTCCTGGGTAGGAATCAATAAGATCTGTGCTGAATTCCACTTCTTCTTCTAGGAGATGAGGAAGATTTATCCTTTGTTCCTCTGTTGAAGCAGCTGCTTCTTCATCTTTTGGAAGAACTAGGGCTGGTTCATTTCTCAAAGTGTTTTTCTCCAATACAGAACTGTCTGTCACAGTTTGACTCATCAAAGATTTTAACAAAAACTGGCGGTAGTGAAATCCACTGTGGTCTGAAACATGCATGGATGCCCAATGTTTAGTAGAAGATAGTTCATCAAGAAGAATCTTGAAGGAAGAAAAAAGAAAAGTGAGAAGAGGAATTTTCTAAGGATTTTACTTCTCTATTAGCACCTCTAATTTCTCTTTGATTTTTTTTTAAACAATACCATTCTCACCAATATTTTGTACACCTTGTCTACACAGTGCTGTCGTTTAGAAGTTTAATGCATGCTGGTTTCTCTCTTCCCTTATAAAGTTACAGGAATTTGTTTTAAAACCACAGAACCAAAAGACCTTTCTTTCTTTCCCTTGACCTTGACTATTCACATTCTGATGGGCACATGGAGAGAAAAGCCAAATTTTAAAATAATGTCAAACATTAAGACAGTCACTTACAAGTAATGTTAATATAGAAGGAAAATATAAATGCAGGTTAATTTGATTAAACTTTATTTTATTTAATATGCATTATATCTAACATGAAAATATACTATATCTGTTCAATTATAGATTAAATATAATTATCTGTTTTTCTATTATCTATAAGTGTCATGAAGGCAAACAGTATAACTGTTTTGTTCACTACTTAATTCTAAGAGCTTAGTACAAAACCATGATGCATGAATATAGGATTTTGTAAGGGCTCATGACTATTTTTGTTTCCAACTCGCCATCAATGATAAATGAGGTTTTAAAGTGAATTAATAAATAAAATCCAGCAGTAAAATGTTCAAATCTTTGTATTACCAACCTTGTAAATTAAAGAATGACAGAAACCAAAGCAGCATTTGTGGGGCAGGGCAGGGTGGGTACAAGAAAGAAAAGGAAAGTAAGTTTTGGCACTGTCTTGAACAGGTAGTCCAAGAATTTTGAGCAATGAACAGAATTATCAAGGGCCTACCACAATCCATCAGGGGATTTTTAGACCAGCTAAAGAACACCAGATATACACTTGTCAACAGTAAATAATAGAAACAGCACGATGCCAAACGATGACTTTATCTGTTTGTCATAGGTCCCCAGCAAATACCTTCTCCTGTACTATGTTCTCTTCTCCACTCCTCACACATCCCTTTCTTCCCTACAAGAAATCTTTCCCTGTTCTGAACTTCCAAAGTACTTTTATAACCCAGCATGCACATTAAAAAATTCTTTGCATGTCTTCATTCACACTAAATTCTGAAGGTGCTTTATTTGTTTTTAAACTCTGTAAGATGCTTATTCATTTCTAATTGATATGTCCATTACCTCATACCCACTGTCATCAGAGTGGATATATAAATATTTTATGAATGAATGAATGAACAATTTAATAAAAGAGATGACAAGTACAAAGGAGTAAGATTACTTCCAAGTAGGACATTCATGGTTTATCAATGATGTGTTTTAAATATTTTCTCTAAGCTCTAATGAGTTTATTAATCACCATCTAAATTTATTACAGAGGTGATAGCTGGCGAGTCTCTGAGAAACAAGATATTTTTTATTTCAAAAAGTAAGCAGAAATAGTACCAGATGAACTTCTACCAGGAAAATTAATTTTAAGGTCATTACATTTTTTTGAAGAATCAGTCTGTAGGACATTAAGCTAAAACACAGCAGCTTTTTACTTTTTAGCCTGGCATCTTAATATGGATTGAAAAGAGTACTCCACTTCATGAAAATCCTTTAGATCATTTCTTATAGAATATTTCTATGTTAAAAAATGCAACTGTTTGATTTTGAGGCAAAAATACCATATATAAAAAGTTTTCAAAAAGATTTAATATTTTAAAAAAATTTTTTAGTTGTCAATGGACCTTTATTAGTTTATTTATATGCAGTGCTGAGAATCAAACCCTGTGCCTCACACATACTAGAAAAGTGTTCTCCCACTGAGCTACAACCCCAGCCCCAAGATTAATTTCTTAAAAACAAAAACAAACAAACAAAAAACAACCTTACACTGTTTAAGGAAAAAAAAAAAAAAAACCTACCATATTCTTTTCCTTAAGATATATAAGGATGCATTATTAATCCAAAGAACAGACTTTAATGAGAACATTGGGTCATTTTCTTATCAGAAGAAATGGTATAAAGGCAATAACCAAAAATAAATGAACTACTTTTAAAAGATCTTGAAGACATATAAACATACGGATTAAATCTAAGATATTGACAAAATGAATGCCTTTATATGATAAACCTTAAATGCACATATTCTTTTCTAACCTCCACATTAAAAAAATGAGTAAGTAAATAAAATAAAACTAAAGTAGGGCTATGAATTAGAGGAATAACAGTTTTAAAATGAAAGATTACAGAAAATACAAATGTCATCAATCTTGTAAATTTTTTAACAATGGTTTTCATTCTAATTATAAAATTGATAATGATTATTATAGAAAATTTAAATAATAAAAATTATTTTTAAAAAAATTACCTATTATCCTATGGGCCATAAATTACTACTCTTAAAACTTTGATATATAACCAATCTTTCAGGTTTTTTTTCCCTATTCAACGCTTTTACAAAGAGGTTTTTTTTTTTTTTTTAAAAGAGTTAACGGTTACATATAGTAGTTGGGTTCATCCTAACAAACTCATACATGCATGGAAATCGACTGCAGTTCATTATCACTCAAAGAGTTTATTTATTTATTTTTAAGATTTATTTATTTATTCTAATTTGTTATACATGACAGCAGAATCATTTCAATTCATAGTACAAATACAGAGCACAGTTTTTCATGTCTCTGGTTGTTAACAAATCAGTCACACCATTCTTAAATTTTATTTTTAACACAAACTCAGGATATTATTTTGTACTGAGTTTATTCCACTTCTCATGACATTAAATACTATTCTATAACAATTTTAACTCTTGCATAATGTTTACCCTAAAGATCAGCACAATTTAACTATTCCCTTATTTATTTCTACTCTTACATGAGTACCAATCTTATATATAAATCCATGTGCATATCTAATTATTTAGGATAAATTTCTACAAGTATACTAGCTGGAACAGAGAACAACCGTGTAATAGTTATTATAATATATATGATATATACTAATATATTGTGTATTATTAATACTATATAGTATTAATAATACACTAATATATAATGTCAAAGTACCCTCTAAAAAGGCTATATAATTTATATTTCTATTTGAAGAACATTAATGCCTATATCCTAAATTTTTCATCAATACTTTAATCTTCACTAACTTAGTAAAAAAAAAGTTTCATTTTAGCTTACATTTCTTTAGTTATCATAAAGGCTAAATATTTTTGTATGCTTATTTTCCCTTTGATTCTTCTTTATGAAATACCTATTTTGCCTAATTCTCTTTATTTATGAGTTACCTAACTTTATATTTGTAATAGTCATGTTTTACAGTTTTCTGAGATATTTATATATTAAACAGATATTAAGTCTCAATTTGTCACTTTTTTTGGTCAATATCTTATTGCAATTAATTTTTTAATCCTTTTCCACCACCAGGTTTACTGAGATACAGCTGGCAAATAAAAACTGTTATATATTTATGGTGTACAACATAATGTTTTATGTATGTACTGTGAAATGACTACCATGATCAAGCTAATTAACTTATCTATCACCTCACATATTTGTCATGGTTAGAACACTAAAGACCTATTATTAGCAATTTTTAAATATATTATCTCCAAAACTTACTTATCCTAACTGAAACTTTGTACCTTTGACCAGCAACTCCCTATTCTTTTCCCCACCCCAACTCCTACAACTATCACTCTACTTTTTTGTTTCTATGAGTTCAACTTTTAAAAATTCCACATACAAGTGATATCATGAAGTATTTGCCTGGTTCACTTGCACATAGCTTATGTAGTATGAGGTAAAAACCCAATTATTTTCTACAAAGTAAGTTTTTATCAACAAACTGGATAAAGACTCTTTAATTAAGAGAAATGCCATAGTCATCATCGATGAAATCTGTACATAGTATGCAATGGGATTTGTTTCTGGGCTTGGTATCCTTTCCATTACTGAGTTTCTGAAATAGTACCATATTTTAATTATTTAAACATTTACACATCTGATGGTATAGTGTTCTTCTTTTATTCAACAATTTATTTCTTAAGATTTATTCTTTCTAATGAACTCTGAAGTCAATTTTTTAAGTTAAAAAATAAATCAGTGGTTTTTAGTATACTTGGAGTTGTACAGCTGTCACCACTATCTAATGTAAACCATTTTCATCACATCCCCCAAAGCAAACCCCAAACCAAACCAAACCAAAAAATCCCATTCGTATTAGCAATGAGTCATTCCCCTAGTCTCTCCTTCCTAGTGTCTGACACTCGATAATCTGCTTTGCAGATTCTGATCATACAAATGTTCCAAACACTTACAAGTGTTTATTATCTCATTCAATGCTTAATAGATTAAAATTATATGAAGTGCCCCACATATTTAGCTTATGACCTTAATCTATTATGAATATCTATCTTTATATAATTATCTAAGTACTATGTTTAGGAGCAATAAAATATTCTAATCTGTGATAAACTGTAATGTACCTAGTCCCTCAATTTTGGAGAATTAGTTTTTCAAGTTTTTAACCATTATAAATGCTACTTTTATATATCAGACCTTTATATTTAATATAATGGCCAATGTTTATTGGGCTCTTAGTAAGAGCCACTTCATGTGAATCTGTCCATTCAATGTGCATCAGTGGATGAGACAGGAAAAGGAAGCCAAAAGTTAAAAGACAGTCTAACTTCCTCAAGGTTACAGAGCAAACTGGAGGTAGAGTCAGGATGCAAGTTAGCCTGCATGAACACAGAATGTAACCTTTTATCATTACACAATACCACATCCCTATTATTTCTTTATGATGAATTCCTGGAAGCAGGACTGTTTAAGATAACAATTTTACAATGTTTATTTTCATACTCATATCATACAGGATACTAGCACTTTAAAAAGTCATTTTCAATTTTCTAATTAAAAAAATGCCAGTTTATTTTCATGTATTTTAAGTTGCTCTAGATTACTAATACTTTTGATATTGCTTCCTCTAGTAGATAAAGCATAGCAGAACATGTTATCCTAGCTGGGTCCAATGGCTTGTAACAACAGAAAAGGGATTTTGAAAACTCAGCACTCTTTTCTGAAAACAATGAGAACAAAAGATGCTGCAGTGGTGGCAGTGACAGGAAGAACGGCAGGCTCCCACACCTCCCAAGGTAGGTCAAGGAAGGCTGACAACATGTGAGCCTATGAGTAAATCCAGGCAGCTCAGCCAGAGTCCACTAATAAGCTGTCATCTTTAACATATGATGGTCTCAAGTAACAAAAATTGTGTCTTGGTCCCTTATTCCTGATTTTATGAAACGCTACTTGAAAAGGTCTACAACATGGCGGGCGGGAGTGTTTCCAAAGACCTCTAAGCTCACCTGGAGTCTGGACCCAAACTGGACCCACAAACCTCCGCTCTATCCTCCACTCCTACTCTCCCCATTATCAAACTGTGGAGTTGAGATAAACAGCTCTAAAGCACTTCGTAACACTAACAACACATCAAAGAACTTTTATGCATGCTTCCAGCCTCAGCTGTTTCCAAAGACCTAGACGAAGAGCCATTTCTCTGTTCTTACATGTATCCTGAGATTCCCCCAGTCCCTTCAAGTACATGCTGCTTTGTAAGTGTTGATTTGCTTCCTCAACCAGTTTCAATTTTTTGATAGAAAGTTCTTGTCTTTACTATCTCAATCAGTACACAGGAGAGTGGCTGGGAATGATGGGGAAGGGGGGTTGGCACTTTTTCATGAATAAATTACACTGAATTGATCAAGCAAACTGATAGCCAATTTTACCTAAATTTTTTATTCATGGGAGAGCAGATTTAAAAAACTAAAATTTAGTAAACCTCTCTGAGATGCCCAGTACTTTCCACAAATTAATTCAGGCAATAATTCTCAAAATAACCCAGAGGCAGAGAGTAGACTCCTCATTTCAAAAGTAAAAACATTAAAGCCTCACTTTCCTATATATAGCTGGTAAGGGCAGAATTTGGACTCAGGCTGATGGGAGTCTAAGTTTTGATCTTTTTTCTACTCCAGCAGGTGGACTCCACTCCTGAAACTCATAGCCATATAAACTGAAAAGAAAAGGGATTCTCTTCCAAAACTGTTAGCTTAAAATCTCCTTAAAGTAAAAAATCTCTTATTTGTTCTGGAAGAATCTCTGGCTAGGAAATAAAATAGGGAATGAGAACATGCAAAGGGAGATGTAAGAAGAAGGAGATAAGTACTCGAGATTCTTATGGCATTAAAAAGCCATAAGAAAAAAAAGGAGGGGAAAATTTAGATGCTGTAATATATAAAAAGGAGCACAAGTGATACCTGGATTTCAGTGATGAATAATATATGGTACAACTGTGGCTAACTCTAAACTATTAAAATTCTCTGGAAACCTCCACCTCCTCATTTTAAAACTGAAATTAGGTTATGAGAAGTTCCAATCTCACACTGCATCCAAATAATTCTCTGAATCTGTGGATTCAACCTCATTCTGATTTTTAGGCCTGAAATAGAACCTAGGAAACTTCAGATAATTTACAGGCTCTGTCAAATGTGGGAACACGTGGGTGGTATCTTCTGTACCCTCTCTTCTTCCCCAACTTCCAGGAGAGGATATTGGAAAAGATAGCCAGTTGATTCAGCACAGTGAGCATATAACTAGAGACTACCAAAAAATAGTTCCAAATTCTAAAAGGCTTAATAATCTTTTCTTGTTTCAGGACAAAGTAAGTGCTCAACCTTCCCTGAATGGTTTAGCCTCCCTTTGTCTACCAATGCACTAGCCTTACTGGTGCCCCAGAACCACACTAGTGGATAATGAAAACACTTCCATAATTGCCAGGTGTTCTCTAGGGGTATCAGCAGTCATAATCTGTTCATGCTACTGAACCATTACTTCCTCTACTCCTTTAGAGCTTTAAATTCTTTTGAGGAAGATTTAAAGGACAGGCTGATAGTCTGCCCACTGGGACTGAATAATAGCCTTACCTTGACATCTAGCTTGGCCAAGTGTTGTAACACCCAGATGCGATGAGACCAGGCATTATAATTGCTTGGATATCTCCCTGCTGCTTCACCACAGACTTCCATCTCTTCTTGTATTAGTCGCTGTGTCCTCTCTGAAGGGATTGTTTCCAAATTTCCTTTGGTCACAAAGGAAGGCAAGGAAGTTTCCTGAATTAGCTGTTGTAGCACCCATCGCCTGTTAAGGAAGCATTTGGGAAAAACAAGGAAAGAACATAAACCAGAGAGGAAAAAAGACAGTATTCTTTGTTCAGTGTTCTCTGCATTTATTTATTAATGCAAAATAGTCCTATCTATAAGCCTAATTTTGAGAGAAGCAAGAAGGGCTTGCTGTTTTGAAGACAATTAAATTTAGGAGTATGACTAAAACAGGACAAACAGGAAAGGAAATACTTTCTAAAACTTTAAAATCTGTCAAAAAAAGAATATCATCAGTTTTGAATGACAACTCCCAAATTCCATTTGACCAAGAAACTTAAAAGGAACTAGTCTGTGTATTTATGTGTAGTGGTGATGGTTATGGAGTATTAATTAATGGCTGGTAAATATTAGTAGCAGAGTCATGGTTCACATCTTCAATTACATGTGCATGCCTCACCCCTATGTACATTTGGGTGCAAATGAGAAGCTGCACCTGGAAAGCTTTCATTATGCAAAATTTCTATATTGCAGCATAAAATCTAGAAAGAATACAATATAATTTAAACCATCAGAAGATGTTTTAAAATGTCTTTATCCATAGATTTTTCCCTTTGTCTATTTAAGATCTGTACTAGCATACATTTAAACCAAAAGCTGTAAAAAGCATTTCTAACTACTTAATGCTTTTGGTTGTACAAACATTTTCCTCTTATGAAAGCATTCTTTTAGACTAAAAATTTCTGACCCAGAGGTACAGAAAATTGAATAAGAAAACTCAATTCATCGTGTTTAAATAATAGGTTTTGTTTAACAAAATTATTACTTCATTAAAAAACTAAAGACACCTAATAATTGATGAATGCATTTTTAATATTATCTTTGCCCTGCCCCATCCCTTTTTAAGCCCCCACACAATGCCATGACTCTCTAAGGCCTATTCCAATTTCTAGTAAATAAGAAAATACAACTGTGGTTTGAGAGGAGCTGCCTTGAAATGCTAGCCAAAGGAACAATTATACCTAAGATTCCTTATACTGAAATAAATAAAAATGCCCACAATTAAAAATAAGTGGCTTAGTGAGAATAACTACAGAGAACCTTCTCCATTATCACCAGGCAGCAAACCTTTTTCATTCAATTGTAGTCAAATAAAAGCAGTTATAAATAAGACAAATAAGCTTCTGGCTGGCCATGATTTTGAGGGTCCTTATTTCCATCTCACTACCTCAGGTCTTTAAAATTACTCTTTGCATTAGTGATTCTAGTAATTATAGCCTATGCGCCCTTTGTCTTAGCTGCCTTTAGCTTCCTTTATAAGTTAATTTGAATAACCATAACAATCACCACCAACTTCTTTACCAGGAATGCAACCTAACACATTCAAATGCAAGATACTCATTGTAGTTGAATCTCTAAATTCAGTCTTCACATTACCACAGTTAGCAGTAGCTAATGTTTACTAAGTATTTAATACATGACAGGTACTTTGGTAGTGTTTACATGTGGTACTGTTCCCATGTACCTTGAACTATTAACCGTACGATATGAGTGTAATAATTACTGTCATTTAGCAATGTGAACACTGAAAATTGAAGAGGTTAAATCATTTCTTACAAGCACTTGGGTAGCCAGTGATAGCCCTAGATTGGAAATGTAGGTAACATGACTTTAGAATTCATGCTTTGAATCAACACACAACCCTGCTTCACAATGCTGTTTCTTTCTCCAGTCATTGTTAATTCTAAACAAGAATACTATGCTGTAAATTAATCACACCTGTGAATCCATGTTTCTGGACTCTTTGGAAACTTAGTTAAGGCCAGTTTTCCTAGATGTAAGTCCTTAATTGGATTTAAAGTGCCAGAGAGGATCAGCTCTTTCCTGTAGAAAAAAAATTAAAAAACAAAACATTACTTTATTCTTCTATTCAAACATTCTGAATGACTTTTAATATAACCTCATTGTGAAGTGAATTTCTAAGAATTGGAGAGAAAGAGAATACTCCAAACCACTGTGGCATATAAATATGTCATACACAGTTGTCAAGAATGTATTCTCTGGGGCTGGGGATGTGGTTCAAGAGGTAGCGCGCTCGCCTGGCATGCGTGCGGCCCGGGTTCGATCCTCAGCACCACATACAAACAAAGATGTTGTGTCCGCCAAATACTAAAAAATAAATATTGAAAAATTCTCTCTCTCTCTACCTCTATCTCTCTTTAAAAAAAAAAAAAAGAATGTATTCTCATAATCTCAAAATAATTAATAAGCAGAAAAAGAAGTTCTTAAATAAACAACAGAACTTTAGTTAAGTATTTGGTATACTAAAGGTGTTTCCTAGCCTATCTCATTTCTAAAAGTTACATGACCTGAGAGCAGTATCTCTAAGGCAGATCCAACAGTGTTCAAGAAGTGCTCTAGCTTCTTAAATAGAACTTGATATGGTCTAGTTCATTATCAAAAAATAAATAATCCCCCAAACAACAATGAAAGAATATACATATTAAAAAAAAAACACACACAGCATGATTGAAATGTAAGGAAAAAAAATCTGTTGAATCATTATCCTAATAAATAGAATTATTTTTATTTTTGAATAGTTCCTTCTTTCCTGCATGCAAATATATTTTATATCTTGCTCTCAGCACATCTTAAGAATTCTCCTATAGTTCCATATAATTTTTGTAATGAACACTGTGAATGATCATAGTTTTAATTCAGTAGCTGTGATGTAATTTAATGTCCTTTCTCCCACTGTTACATTTTAGGTTGCTTCTAACTTTTTGCTATTCTAAAAAAAATTGTGGGGAAATACCAAAAACCCTTGTGCTTGTAACTTGTTTCTTTTGTACTATAATTTGGGATAAGTTTCCAAAAGAGGTATTACCAGGTGAAATAGCTGCATGGCCCCTGATATACTGGGCCACTCTTTCTTGAATATAAACAGAAGTAATAGATATATAAAGTTTTTGTTGTTTTAAAGATGGTCAAGCCCAACCAAAGCTTCTGTGCAGTTATAAAGAACATCACAAAAGTATTTGGTACATAGTTTTCACTAAATAAAATTTAACATTTAATTTCTTGAATAAGTTTTGCATAATAGATGCTGGTATTTTTTATTATACTTCCCAATTAATTCAATATATCTATTATTTTATAATAAAACCAAATCATTTGCTCTTACTTATTAATTCTAAAATGTCCTTCTTGGGGTAGAGCTGATTATTAATTTATTTTAGAGAAGTTTCTACTCAACAAAACCAGAGTCAGTCTCTTATATTGGATTAGATGGATTTGGTTCCTAAATACCATAAAAAATTCTTTTTAGTAGCAATAAACTATTTCTAAATTTTTATTTGATAAGGAAAATAACTTCCTTTTTAATGAAAATACTAATTAGTGACAATTAATACTTGTATTTTATAATTGTTTTAAGGTTAGTAATTTTATAATTTGAAGCAATACCCAGAAGGTTTATAGTCATTTTAATAAATGGATTTATGGACTATTTTCTTTTCAATGGACAGGAAACCTATTTATCATTAAAAAGAAATGTAATGCAAGTCAATTGCTTTTATAGTCTTAGATATTTTCTGTTCTGAGATCAGTAATATTTTTTTGTATACAATAAGTAGGAATATTTATGAAGTAAAAAGAGGTAAAAGATTGCTCTATGTAATTTTAACTACTTTGTAGAGCAGTGCTTTTCAACATGGTTCCAACATCAGTCATCATCTGGAACTTAGGATAAATGCAAATGCTCAGGCCTCACCTGGACACACTGAATGGGAAACAGTGGGCAAGTAATCTGTGTTTTAATAAAAGTGGGCAAGTAATCTGTGTTTTAATAGCCCTTCAGATGAGAAATATTAAAGTTCAAATCCACTATTACAGAAAATTTATTGTATTAACCTTAATTTCTATTTACTAAATTCAAGACTTGTCCTTATTTGCAACTGCTTTTCTTTATTCCCAGATATAAGATATATAATAAATTTTTTCTTCAGAAAAGAAGGAGTCACCTCTTTACTAACTAACTTAATCAATGATATCTATGAATGCCATAGAATCATAAAAAAGAAAGCAAAATTTAAATATCAATTTAATAAACATTCCTAGAGGCAGGACTGAACAACTTGTAAGTGTTGTATACTGTTGTAAACAAATTTTTAAAAGACACCTTAAAAAGAAGTATACTAAGTGGTTACATTATGGCAATTGCACATCCTATAGATACAATTAAAAAACAATAATTGCTCTAATAAATTTGAGTTTCAAGTAAGAATATGGCTGGAGATAAAATTTCCATTCATTCATGGATTCAAAAAGTACTCTAACTCAAACAAGTTAAGATATTAATATGATAAGCTCTGGAAAACTACTGGATAGCTTTAAAAAAAAGAAAAAGGCTTTTGTGATGATAGTCACTGATATAAATAATGCTAAAATTCCCCAATGAGACACTGCTTACAGAGGAGGAATGAAGCTAGAATCATCAAATAATCATGGAGAGAACTAACTCGAAGGGGAAAAGGTGTTGGTATTTTTTGGAGATTAGAGAACAGAGTTAGTGAAGAAAGTACCATAATTTAGGTATAATCTTTGTGGAAAGAAATTATGAGGGCTGCCTTCTGAAAAAGGGTGAGAAGGAAAAAGAATGAGGGACTTTAAAAAAACAACAAAAAGAATTATGAAAGGAATGAGATTTTCCACAAAGCAGATTTTTCAAACAATAACTTAATCTTTGCTGTATATTTCGTTCAACAACTGAAGAGTATATGAAAAAATTTAAAAAAACTCATCACTTTCCTTTCAAGTCCTCCTGTTCATCATTATGAAAATCAGCTAGTTATCTATAGTTAAACAGGCCCATAGGAACCTTCAGAAGTTACTAAAGTAAGCAGCATGATTCCCTTCTCTAGGAGATAACTATACTTTTTATACTTCCACAAAGTTTATTTTACTTTTTAGATTTTTCTATTTTTTATCTCAAACTGTATTTTGATTATGATCTCCACTGGTTAGGTCAGTAATTGGCACATAATAAATATTGAGTAAATAAATGCCATCTTTTTTCCCTCAATCTCAGTAACTCTGTCTGAAGCAACAAAAATAATAACAGCCATCCTTGTAAAAATTATCATCTACAGAACATTTCCTGAATCAGGTACTATTTTAAGTGATTTACATATGTTACCTAATTACTACCACAACAATCTTATAGTAAGTATTTGTTGAGTTACATGAAATTGCTAGTATTCAACTTTTCTAAAAAAATAAACTTTTTTATTTTATAACTTCCATATTTTTACAGAAAGTTATAAGGATAATACAGAGAATTCCTGTACACTTCGCACCCAGTTTTCCTCATCAACATCTTGTATTACTGTGGTTCACTTATCAAAACTGATGATTAATAATGATATATTATTAGTGGAAGTCCACACTTCACTCAGAATTCCTTAGTTTTTACCAAATTCCTTTTTCTGTTTCAAAGTCCCATCCACGATTCCACATTATATTTAGTTGTTATGTCTTCTTAGGCTCTTCAAATTTACATTGCTTTTAACGGCCTTGATAGTTTTAAAAGTATTGGTCAGGTATTGTATATACTGTATTTCTCGTGATTAGATTAGTGTTATGGGTTTGGCAGAGGAAGACCACACAGCTAAAGGGTCATTCTCATGTATTCATAGTAGGGACACATAGTATCAAGATGCTATTGATGCTGATATGGATTACTGGGCTGAGGTAATATATGTCAGGTTTCTTTAGTACTTTTAGGAAGGAAGTCACTATGATTTTTTTATTCAGTGCACACTGCACAATTAAGGTGTCTGGAATTAAGCTCCAAATCCTTGAAGGGAACCATCCAGATAAATAAGATAAATTAACAAGATATTTGTCCCCTACTTATTAATTGATTCATTTATATCAGTATGGACTTATGGATATGGGGTCTAAGCCATTACTATATTACAATAGTCCCCTTTATCTGCAACTTAAGTCATCCACAATCAACAGTAGTTTTGAAAATTTTAAATGGAAAATTCCAGAAATAATTCACAAATTCTAAAGTGCATGTATTCTGAGTAGCAGGATGAAATTTCGTCTGTATGGCTCAGGATGTCAATCATCCCTTTATCCAGCTATTCCTCTTCTCGGACTATACCCAAGGGACCTAAAAACAGCATACTACAGGGACACAGCCACATCAATGTTTATAGCAGCACAATTTACAATAGCTAAACTGTGGAGCCAACCTAGATGTTCTTCAGTGGATGAATGGATAAAAAAATTGTGGCATTTATACACAATGAAATATTATTTTTAGTCACTTGGTGGAAAAAAGCATACTCTCCTTGGCTTCAGGCATCTGCTGGGGGGTCTTGGCACATACCTCCCCAGGACAAGGGGGTGGATATGTGTCTACTTTGTTGCTCAAATAATTTCAGTGCCTTATTGAAAGCTCTTTCAACAGGTTTTATATTCCTTTAGCATACCCTCACCATGCTGATTTTTGAACACATTTCTTCCTTTATAAGATGCTTTAGGCTCATCTTGTATACTTCCTACCTTGATCCTAGAATCAGCCATTTATCCAAGAAAACCAATTCCTTCTCTTAGAGAATGGTGTTAGAAATGAACACTAGGATGTTGAGATTCAACTTTCTTTTAAGTGTACAAAAACAATTTCATAAACCAGAAACTGCATCTAACAGAAGAAAAAGTAGGCCCTAATCTTCATCATGTGGGGCTAGACCCCAACTTTCTTAATAAGATGCCTATAGCACAAGAGTTTAAACCAAGAATCAACAAATGGGATGGATTCAAACTAAAAAGTTTTTTCTCAGCAAAAGAAATAATCTATGAGGTGAACAGGG